TTCTCATGTATGCGCCCGATTGCATGAAACAAAGGCAATAGTATGAATAAAGGCAAATTTTAGAGCCCGATAACAAGAATTAATTATTCTGAGGATATTTTAATGAAACGAGCTTGAACCAAATTGCAGAAAGACAATCAATCCCGATTTCTTCAATGAAACTCACATCAAACGGATTCGATAAAACCATTTATTCACATTATTGAAGTTTGATCAACAAAAAACTTACGTTTTTGCCGTCCTCATCTTCAATCGTTACCTATAATACAGTAGTAAAAGAATGACAACTCAAAGTTCGGAATCGGCCTATTTCATCATACCAAAACGTATCTGACGAACCGTTTTGTTTTTTCCCTTGGACACAAACTCATTAATCGGGGATGATCGCGAAGGGTTGCAAGTATCTGGAGCCAGATTCTCCTTTTCTTCTGTTGCTATATCCCGTGAAGCGCCGAGATTCCCAAGCTTCGATGCAAGCACTGAATTTGGTGATGAATTCACTGAAGCAATCAATAAGAAAGTGGCATCAAGCGGTTCCTCAAAAAGCAGGTAGCGACAACGCTGAAGTACTTGCTAGGTCTCAACGCTGAGAGCGAGCGAGTGTTCGATCAACAAATCACAAATAAAACCGCGAGAGCACATAGGATTAGCTCTCCAAATGCTTATTCCAGTAGGTGTGAATCGTGGGCTCAGGGTGATCCGATAGGCTGGTGAGGAACTATAAGGCAATTACTTTGAAAACGATTCTCATTGTGAATTCTGTCTCTAAGGGCAAAATTTATTTCGCTAGTAATAAGAAAAAATCAGACCCCCAATGACTGATAAGCTGTTTGCAAACCAAAACACAATCCTGACTTTGCCCAACTCAATGTACAGGATTTTAAGAATTTAGTTGGTTCCACAGGGCACACGGGAGACCTTATCTCTTTGGTTACTTCCGATTGTATGTAGAATGAGACCAAAATCCTTTGAACTCTAATATCAATTCTAATGCAGCTAGGCAAACGAGAAAGCATAACAATTTAATTCAAAGGCCTACACTAGCTTTTGCATTCGAGATCACATTGGAATAAGGACATCAGAATTTATGTAAAAAAAAAGGGATCTTAGGCCAAATCAATTTTTTGGAGCACGAAGGACATGAAAATAAACCTCTAATTAAGAAAAAATGATCAGACTAACGGCGAATGAAATGCTCCAAAGATGTCATTATAGAGGTTCATCATCAAAACGAGACCGGCAAAGACTTGAGTACGCAGGTATGTGTGAATCGAAAGTTCTATCGCACAATGTGAACGGTATCGAAGAGAAGAGTCCGCAAACGCGAAAACTAGGAGCGAATTTGCTGAAACGACTTAAGCGCTTATGGAATCCTGACAGACACCAAGAACAATAATCTTATAACAAAAACACATTTACCGCATGATTTTCTGGTTACGTCGTGCTCATCGCTTGGATTTCTGCTTGATGCATGGTAGGAGGGCAGTGTCTTCTTTCCCTTGAGAATCGAAGAAAGAGGTGGCATCGAAGCAAAAGCGTCCAGCATTGAATCATCTTTAATGACAATACAAAGGTCTCTTAAAGTGTAATAATAACGAGGTACGTCAAGCCAGTGAAAAGCAAAATATTAGAAAACGAAGAGACCTTGAAAGCAAAACTGCAGCCTCGATTTGAGCTGGAAAAGATTTACCGATCGAGCTAAGGTGAGCTCTTGTTCCAAATCTAATGTTCATCAAAACGACACAGGGTATTCGCGAAAATGCAGTAACAATTGGGGTTCCTCTTTTGCAACCTAACAGTGAATGAGATTACAAACTCGGCCAAGTATCAAAAGAAACCAAAATGTTTCGTTGGTCGAAATGACCAGTAACCTGTCAACTTATCCCTGCGGACCATAACTTAGTTACAAATCTGTTTCCCATAAATTGCTGTTGCCAAAGAGAAAAAGAAGCCCTTACACCATTTATTGACAAAGTGGTCAACACTTGGATCTTGAAGAAGTACCGTAGAAACAATCGAAACAAGGTCAGGAG